TGGCCCCAGGTGGGTTTTTTTCTCAGGCCGGGCTTGAAAGTACTTGGAATGCTCTTTGGATTAACAACAAAATGCTGCGTTGGGAGTTCGGGCTTTGGCAACGCAGGGGTGCGACTGGTTGGTGCAGCTAAGTCAGGGTTGACGTGCATTGCACGTGACTTTGGGTGATTCACATAATCCCTGGGCGCTTGGTTCCACATTTGTAGAACAAAGGTCAAGATGAGAGCATCTCTAGGGACCTTTCCTTTCTAATTCTAAGTCTCTGTAGCTCCGGACTCTGCCTCTGATCTCTACAAGAAGTACTTAAATAAGTTGCCTCCTCGGGGCTCAGTTGGCTGAGCTATAGAATCGCAGAGTGTTAGGGACGGAAGAAGTCTGGGATCTGGAAAGGGGTGGTGGTCACTTTCATGCCCTGATCCCCAGTTCCAAGTTAGGTAAAACGGGGCATACATATGCGCGCTTTTCACACCTAAGTGATACTTGGAAACTAGTATCATTGAAATAATTTGAGCCACTCTGAGACCTTGTAAGAGTTGGCTTAACCATGGTGGGAAGCAAGAAAACCTGCTGGCTAACTCAACTGGCCACCGATTCATTCTTGAATGAGGATCCTTCTCTACAGTGAGCTGCCTCCGTGAAAGGTCTCGTGGGGGCAGAATTGCTTACTTATCCCACTGGGACCAGATACCAGAGATCACATTCAACAGAGGCCCAGGAGTTGCTCAAATGCAACTTTTAAGGATGTGAGTCAAGTCCTAACTCAAGGGCATTAGTGCATCCCATTTCTTGTGCACTGCAGACCCAGGAGGCAGACTGAAGACAGTCAGGCAAGGCCAGTTTGATGTGGTAAAGCGCGAATGGCTCTTGAGTTCTAATCTTGACCTGTCGCCAAAGAGCTGTGGGACCTGGGGGGACGTTAGGTTACCTCTCTGGGCATCAGTATCTTCATCTGTGAAATGAGGAGGTCCAGCCCCTGGAGCTGGAACGTGTTAGGATTCCAGGCAGAGCTGTGGGTAGGATCACCTTGCCTCCTCTCTCTTTCATCCCTTCGGTAACAGCTGCTGCCAAAAATTGGGGTGGAGAAGAAAGGAAAGAAGGGACAAAAGATGAACAAGCCCTTAGATTTTGCCAGGCTCCGTACAGTTGTTTTTATATATATTATATTATCAAATTTATTTGGTACATCGTGTATCCCAATTTGAGAGAAGATTCTTTAGCCTTAAGTGGTCACCTCAGGTGCCTGGACACGAATGTCACTGCCGTTCAGCGGTTCCTCGCTTGGTTGTCACCTCAGAGCATGAGGAAGGGGCTGCCTCTGACTGGGACCCTCCTGCGGTGCTGGGACCTTGCCCTGCCTTTCATTTTTTTGTTGTTTGTTTGTCTTTGTTTTTTGTTTTGTTTTGTTTTTGGTGGGGGGAGGTAATTAAGTTTGCCCTGCCTTTCACATGGCATCTGACTCAGCCTCTCTGGAGGATAAAAGACATGCAGGGGGACCTCTCTGCCGATGCTTCCCCAGCCCTCTGCAGACTGCCACTCACTCTTTGGGTTACAGGTTCCCTCTGGGTAGTGAGGTCCCTGGATCCTCCCCAGTCCGGGGGAGACACAGGAGCACAGCTTAGGGGCCAGCTTGCCAGGGTCACCAATTTTCTGTTGCTTCTGGCCTCGTGGGTGGAAGGAGAGGCCCACGGGCTGGCCCCCGTTTGTTCGGCGTTAGCTGGGTAGTAGAGCTGTAGGTAATCGGAGGGTCAGTTCTAGGCTGGGAGGGGGTTGAAATGGCATCTGCTCTTGCTAACCACCTTCAACCCCAAACCCATGTCCTCCAATAAACACAAAGTGACCTGCTGAGGGGGAGGGTACAGCTCAGTGGGAGAGCACATACTTAGCATGCATGAGATCCTGGGTTCAATCCCCAGTACCCACATTAAAAAAAAAAAGTGAACAATACAGTGGGCTAATAAAGTGAGGCTTTTAGTTGCCTTTGGTGATCTCCAGGTGTAAGACTCTTCACATAAGTGACCCATTGCACCAATGACCAAGGTAAGAGGGGGCTTATAGTTAGACACAGAATGGGCTAAGATGGTGGGCAACTGAATGTGCGTGTTTCTGAGAGAAGCAGTCCCCAACACTATCCAGAAGTGACCATTAAATCTTCTCCTGTTTGGAGTTTTTGCCTTATTTCGTCTCCCCTCCCTCGTTGCGGACAAGCAGTGGCTGCTTACACGCGGATAATGGTAGGCATGGAAGCTTTGTATGGTTTTATGACCAAGCACAGCCCTCTGCCGGGAGTCTATCTGAGCTGACTGCAGAGCAGTTGACTGAAGGGAGCAGACTTGACTGTTAGGATGAGTAGAGCAGAACGATCCAGAAAACTGTGCTTCACATCACGTCCCCTCCGTTTGGAGGGAACGGGGCTTTCCCGGAGTGCTAGTGGAGCTCGTTGCCTTTGAGACTCAGCTCCTTGCAACCCTGAGGAGCATAAATCCCAGCCTGGGTTTGATCCACTCTTCTCCTTTACCCAGAATTGAACTCCGGGCCCTGGGCAAGATCTCGGAAGGAGAGGAGCTGACCGTGTCCTATATCGACTTCCTCAATGTCAGTGAGGAGCGCAGGAGGCAGCTGAAAAGGCAGTACTACTTCGACTGCACATGTGAGCACTGCCAGAAGGGGCTGAAGGACAACCTCCTCCTGGGGGTGAAAGATGACCCCAAGGTACACGCAGCCCCGCTCCTGGGGTGCTGGGGCCGTCTTCCCCACGGGTCGGGCAAGAGTGGGTTCCCCTGCTAACCAAGGCACCCCTGCCATCCGCTCCCAGATGACCAGCCTCTAGGACGACAGGGGTGCTGGACAGAGCACTGCCGATAGGTCCCGACTGGTGTCTTGGTGCCACCACTTTGGGTATTTGAGTTTGGGGAAGTGACTCAGTTTCCTCATCTGTAAAATAGGAATGATGGCACGCACGACACGGGCTTGTTAATGAGGATGAAACAAGATGCTGCTTGCAAAAGGGGTGGCACATCGAGTAGACACTCAGTAAATCTTAGTTCCTCTCCTTGCCCCTTGGCAGCTTAAGTGATGCTGGGAATTTCATAGAGAGAGACGAGACGAGAAGAGGTGTGTTGTCTGGTTATCACAAAGAGGTTCCTAGTCCCATGGCGAGGGGCAATGTGGAGAATGATTAATATGCTTACCTCCTGAGTTGCTGTTGCCTAACTGATGGCGAGACCGTTGAGCAACAGAAGGCTTACTGAGGGGGGTGATGTCAGGAGCTCCACTGAGTTGGGAGAGAGTTACGCTGCCACGTGTCAGAGCAGCTGATTAAAGTAGCAAGCCTTTTATCACTTTCCATGATGGCAAAGCAAGAGGCTGAGACTGGAGTGGGCGCTGACTCCCCATGGCCCATCTTCCCTCCATGGTCCATCTCCCCACTGTGGGCCATCTCCCCCCATGCACCCTGAGGTGTGTGTGTTCAGGGGTGCTTCTGATATGGGAAACACAGCAAGTAAATTTTTCCTTCAGACTTTGAGAAATTTGGCTCTTTTCCCTCAAAATTAGAGCGCCTTCATGGGAATTGGCTTCTTAATTTTGGTGCATCATAATTGCACCTCAGGGTCCATAAAACTTCTGGAGCCTTTTGTTCTGGGTCCCTCAGCAGTGAGCAGAGCCCCACATCTGTGCTGGTCCGTCTCATCCTCCACCCGTGGGCCTTTCATAATTTTAATATCAAAACATTGTCTTTCTAGGGGGATGGTATGGCTCAGTGGTAGAGTGCGTGCTCAGCATGCACAAGGTCCTGGGTTTTTAAACAAGATCACTAGACTGCTTAGGCAAACACAGGAAGTCAAGTGGGTCTAGATTTCACAGAGACAGCTGACAAGTTCTCTCATGATGCCCCTTTGGTCAAGACAAGGGACTATGACCTGGATGCTGAGACACTTGGAAGGGTTTCAATGCCCTTGGCCACAGGGCCTCTTCAATGAACTCCAGTGGCTGAGTATGGTTTTGGCCAAGCCCTTGGTCTCTATCCTCAGCTCTGTGCTGGCCAGTATTAAATCAATGATTTGGGTGAAGACAAAAAGTCAAGGACATACCTGTAGAATGTGTAGTTGACTTAAAGAGAAAGAATGGCAAATCTTTTGGGCGATGGAGTAGAATGAGAATCCAAAATGCCAGAGAAAACACAACAGAGCTTCATATCGGATACTGCAATGGGTCCAAAAGTCCAGACATGAGCAGAGTGGGGACCACTGGCCAGTGGCAAGGCTCTGGGGCTTGGTCAATGGAAAAAACATGGGTCAGAAGCATGATGAGGGAGTTGGAAAAGCTGTGGGGACCTTGAGCCGCATTTACAGAAATGAAGCATTCACAGCGAGGGGGGCATTGATCTGGTACTACAGTGAACGTCAAAGATGGCAGCTGTCCAGAGATGCAGTGGGTTGCCTCATGAAGGGGTCTCCAGCTCAATCTCCCTTCTTTTCTCAGCCCTCTCAGGATGTGGTGAAGGAGATGATACAATACTCCAAGGATACGCTGGAGAAAATTGACAAGGCTCGCTCTGAGGGTTTGTACCACGAGGTAAAAATTCATTTTTATAGGGGATGGAAGTGGAGAGGAGGGCAGAAAGTTTTTCTAGCAAGGGAGGAGAAAGGAGTGTGTGTGTGTGAGAGAGAGAGTGCAGGGGGTAAAGATGGGGAGGCTACTGAGCAGGTTGTCTTTCTAAAAGTTGTCCCAGGGTTGAGCCCATGACTCTTCTTGCTGTTAAGCATTTAGCACATTTTAGGGGTGTGTTCTCAGAGACTGGCTATTCAACTCACTGAAACTGGGTTTGAGGAGGGAACAGACAGCCTGATGGGTGTCCCTGGGAGTTGGGGGGGGGTCTGTGGTATCTAGCTTGACATCAGGGATGGAGGAATGGAGATGGCAGTGGGTGGCTTGCTTTCCCGTAACTAAATGCGTGTGGGGGCTACGGTCTAGTCTCTACTAACCATGCATTCAACTCTGGCTTTCGACACACCGGGAGTTCTCAACTGGCTGTACTCTAAAATCACTGAGAAACCTTAATGCTCAGACCCTGGCCCAGGACAATTCCACTAGAATCTCTTGGAGTGGGACCCAGACACCCAGATTTTTAAAGCTCCCAAGTGATTTCAATGTGCACCTAAAATCGAGAGCCACTGCAAACACTGACTGAGCGCTTGCCAGCATTGAACTCACCCAGCCGACTTGTTGGAAATACAGATTCCTGTGTCTCACCCCCTGAGATGTGATTCATTCAATTTGCAACAGAGCACAGGGACCATGAATCAGTATTTCCACCCCACCCCACCCCACAAGTTCTTTAAACAACTTGTATCGCTGGGTTTGGGTGCCACTAGGGCATGGCCATGGGGAGATCAATTTGTGTTCATTTCTATCTGCTTTTCCCTTATTTTTGTTCCTTTCCTCACTCATTCATTGCCCGTTTTTGAGCCCTTACTGGGGTGACCGACACAAGAGCTGCTCTTTGCCTCCCAGGAGTCCTGCCAGGCAGGTGGGGAGAGGCCCACGAGCTAAGTATTGCTGTGCAGTATGGAAAGTCTATGGCAGAGGCTCGAGGGAGGAGCTGGAGCCAGCAGGAGGGCCCCACTGGTTCTATCCTCTCTCCTCTCTGCCTCTTCACGTCTCTTCTCCACTGAAGCCTGGCAGGGCCGGCTGTGGGGCTGGACCCTGCCCATGGGCTTAAGAGGATTACCTTCCGGTGGATTGATTACCAGCCTGCACTTTGTCACACCCCCACCCAGCAGCCTAATGGGCCCCTGGGAAAGTCTCAGAGAACATTGGCTTCCACCCACTTGAAATGGAAAGAATTGTGTGACGTTTCTCCCAGGAGAGCAGCCAGGGAAGGAGAGGAGAGCAGCCATGAACCACAAAAATCCAGAGACCATCTGACTTCGTAGGGTGCAAACCGGACGACATCTATAAATGAATCCGTAGGAAAAGCCTGACTCCAAGCTCCCTGGGGTCGGGCCCGTCTTTTTCCTCCCCAGGTGCTAAGTGGCATCCTCATGGTGGGTCTCCCGGCCTCTGTGCCGATCTGTCCTGGACACTTCCACCAGGGCGTGATTGTCCAACCTCACTTTGCAGAAGGACCACCCAGGGGCATATGTGAACTGCAGATGCCAGGGGCCCTTCCCCAGCTATTCAGTTTCACTTGGTCTGGGGTAGAGCTCAGTCATCGGTATTTTAAAAATCCTGGTGATTCCAAAGCGCAGCCAGGAGGAGAATCACGGGAATGCAGATTAAGATAAAGCTCCGTGGCTTGGTTTGAACCTTTGCTCCATTGCTCATTATCTGTGTAACTTTGGCAAAGCACTCACCCTCCCTGTGCTTCAGTTCCCTCATCTGGTAAAATGGGAGTTTTAGTGGCACCTAGCTCATTGCACTGTTGTGCTGGTAACTGTCCACGTATGAATACAGCTTTCCTAACTCTGCTACCTACTGACTTACGTGATGACGCCTCATTCTGCCACGTCAGCCGCGTCTCCCACCGTTACTTTTCCCACCCCTACATCTTAGCCAAATGGGACCATTTTGCTGTTCAGATCGCAAACTGGTGCTTTCCCACCTCTGTCAGCAATTTCCACAGCCTTCAGAGCATGAGTGTCCAACACCATCGTGATGCTCCCCATGTGAATTAAGCATGTGCTCTGGGGCGGTGGTAACGGGCAGGGCCTGTGTCTCCTAGGTTGTGAAATTATGCCGGGAGTGTCTGCAGAAGCAGGAGCCAGTATTTACCGACACCAACATCTACACGCTGCGGATGCTGAGCATTGTTTCCGAGGTCCTGTCCTACCTGCAGGCCTATGGGGAGGCGTCACACTACGCCAGGAGGATGGTGGATGGCTATATGTATGTCCAATCCTGAGTCTTGGATAGTCTTCTGGAAATGTGTCTATTCCAGGGATGGCACACATGTTGTTACCCTTCCCTCCTGCACCCACAGCAGGCATCAGTAATCGATCACAGACCTCCTTATGATTGAGCCTTTTTATCATGGTGTTCCAAGCAATAATGTCCAAATAATCAGATCTGATAGCTGAGATGAAACCTATTTGTCATCTCTGGTCTATTTCAAGTCCCCCAGCTCATCTATTACTTGGGTGACATCTTGTGCTTGTGGTTTCCAGAAGGCTAAATCTAGCTTGATCTTAAGTGTTTAGAAAGGTTTCTTCCCCCCTAACAATCAACACAGGCAACCTTGTCAGCGTTAGATTTTATTTAAGTTAAAAAAAAAAAAACGTTTCAGCCCTCCTTGTTTATAAATTGTAAACTGCAACTCCCCTGCCTTCGCTCTGCTAATGTCCTCTCTTGCCTTCTGTGTCCACATGGGCATGTGAATGTGTATTTCTGGCCAAATTCAGAATTTGTATGTCTGAGTATGTTGGCACAAGAAGGTTCGTTTTTTTGAATGGATATTACTCATGAGCAAAACCCGGGGAAACTGTACAACATGCTAAAAGGAAGCCCTGTTAGCAAGGTGCCAAGGAGGTGAAAATACAGCTCAAGGGTGAGGGCCTCAAGGGGCTGGTGGGAGAGAAGATGGACTTAATCAGTGAGGCCACCTTGTAAGTTGTCGGAGGCCGTGCGGATACAGGCAAGCTGGGAACCTGTGTTATGATGATTTTCTCTGCCTCGCAGGAAGCTCTACCACCCCAACAATGCCCAGCTGGGCATGGCCGTGATGCGGGCGGGGCTGACTAACTGGCACGCTGGCAACATTGAGGTGGGGCACAGTATGATCTGCAAAGCCTATGCCATTCTCCTCGTGACACACGGACCCTCCCACCCCATCACCAAGGACCTAGAGGCAAGTGGCATCCTGGGGCTGGGCCTCCCTGCCTGCTCTGAGGATGAAAGCTGAGTTCTAGACTCTGCTTTTGGAAAGACCGGAGATGGCCTACTGGACCAGAAGGGGATTCAGAAATGCCGAGCCCACTCCCTGGGTTTTACATCTGAGAACACAGAGGCCAGGGGAGGGGAGTAAGCTGTCCTTAGTCACAGAGTGAGTGGCCAGCAAAGCTGAGACTTGAACCCTGAGGGGCTCAGAGCCTGGGCTGAGAAAACCTAAATGATGTGCATGTGTGTGCAGCCCATGGCCCATGGGGCGGGACTCAGGGAGCACAGGCTCTGGAATCAGACTGCTGGGATTGGAACCTAGTCACACAGCCCTTTCCAGCTGTGACATGGAGAAAAAGGACAGAGTTGTGACAAGAGTTCCGTGAGTTAATGCAAGCGAAGCACTTAGAACCACACTTAGGCAAGTGGCATGCTCTTAGTAGCTGCTGGTTTCCTCTGTGCTTTGTGCTGGTTTATTTGAAAGTGACAGGGTTCAAAGGACTGTCCAAGAGGACAGACTTTGGTGTCATTGAATGTATGAGAAGACTGTCTTTATGTGGGTATATTAAGCTTGTCAAACAAGAGTTTCTGTCATCATATTCACTGCTGTAACCCCAGCCCCTCCACAAAGCCTGGCCCGTGATAAATAGCTCCCGAAGGGACAGTGGGAGAATAAGGGCTTTTCTGTAGGTCTTATGCTGGAATATTCCCGGTCCATGGTGAAGTACAAGAGAATGGGACCCATTTCATGTGTGAGGAAACTGAGGACGGAAGGGATTAAGTCACTTGCTTAACATCCTGTAACCTTAACTGGGACCTAAGTTCAAATCCACGTACCCACCTGGCAGTTCCTGAGAAGACACATTTCCTGCTGAGGACAATTCCCCAAGCTGCTCTCTCAGGGGTCTGACGCCCTCTCCCTAACAAACGGAGCCCGCTGCCAGGACCTCAGGCCCCCAGTGGATGAGAGAGTGTGTGTGTCAATGTGTGTGTGTGTGTGTGTGTGTGTGTGTGTGTGTGTGTGTGTGTGTGTCGGGGGGGGCATCCTCTGAGGGGATGCAGTTGAAATCTCCATGTCTGGGAGTCACTGCCCCATTGTCTGTTGTTTCCAAAAGGGCCAAGGTGGGTCAGAGACCAACACATCCTGGGGGCTTGTCAGCGCTGTTCACGGTGTATCTGGTCCCACAGGCTATGCGGATGCAGACGGAGATGGAGCTGCGCATGTTCCGCCAGAATGAGTTCATGTACCACAAGATGCGCGAGGCCGCCCTCAGCAACCAGCCCATGCAGGTCATGGCGGAGCCCAGCAATGAGCCGGCGCCGGCCCTGTTCCATAAGAAGCAATGAGGACCTGCCTGGTGGGGGTTGGGGGTAGGGGATGGGGGACGCGTCGTGGTTGGGGAACAGGGGAGACATTCTGGAGGCAGTGGGTTTCTGGGGGAGCTCTTTGACGAGGAAGTCAAGGTAATGCTCAACTTTGTTGCTGCGAGAATGTACTGCTCTGTGTCCCCCATGGTCGTTTTGGTTCATTTCAACTCAGTTCCATTCAGTTCAACTCCAGCCCAGCCCAGCCCAGCCCAGCTCATCCTACAAATATTTATTGGGTGCTAGGCCCTAGAGATAAAGAACCCTAAATATAAACAAACAATTAAAGCACAGTGTAATAATGGATGTAATGGTATAAACCATATGGAGGGAGGGTGGGCATGTGTCTGGCGTGTGTGTATGTGCTTGTGTGTGGTGGCAGGGGTGTCATGGAGGAGATGACATCTGAGCTGAGGGTGGAAGGTGCCTGGAGTCTCAGATGGCTGCTCACCCATCTGTGCAGGTGTCTCTGGAGTATTCAGGACTTGGCTGACCGGGGTGGGTGATGTCCAGTCTCCCCAGTGAGTGTGGAGTTATGAAGAAGGGGCTGGGTTTGAGCCATTTAGGTCCTACTCAGAGAACTGAAACCTTTTCAGAAGGGAACCTGTGCAGAAAGAGGAGGGGGCTTTGCCCAAACCATTTGAGGCCTCTGTTTGAAGTCTGGGTTCCAAGCATTATTCGGAAATTACTTCCAGAACACAGAGAGGGGTGTGTCCTTTCCCCACCCTCGCCACCAAGCCTTGTGATCCTTGTGATGTGGGGGCTCCTTGGACAGTATCTGTGATTTTTCTGGCCATTGGCCTCCTAGGATTGAAGACGTCTCTTCAGATTGAAGTAGAGGGAGAAACATGGAAAGAGATGCCTAATGGTCATGGGTCCAGAAGACTTGGCCTTTGGGTGTTTGCTTTGGTTTTTACCAGCTTACACTTCATCACCAGCCCCCAGGAAATCTCTATTTTTAGTGATGAATAATTATGACCTTCCTTGCTTAATTTCTTTCACTGCCCACGCCCCCAGGCCTCTGCTTTTCTTGCCAGAAGGAATATCTTATCTGGACTCCACACATCTAGGTTAGGATCTCTTTGAGGGGTGCGACCAAGTTACCCTCATCTCCTGGGAGGCTGCTCTTGGTTTCCACCCAAGAGTGAGGGTCTTGGAAATCAACCAATCTAGTTGTCCTGTTATCTTCTGGGATCCCAAATGTCTCACCAATGTTTTGGGGGATCCTGGGCTGAAACCCTCCATTTGAGAATGTCACCATGCCTTCTACACCATCTGGGGCCACCCTTGACTCCACAGTCTTGACCCTTGACCCTGAAATCTTGAAGTCAAGTGATCCCACTGGGCCCCGTATTTGTCATCGGTGCCTAAGGTGTTCGGTCCTCCATCCCCACCCTTTCATTCTCAGAATGACCCACTGCCTCCCTCATAACCTGACCAACAGCTCTGTCAATGTGCCAAAAGCTTTGTCCAAAAGCTCAGCAAAGGTTCTGCTTCTCTGCAGAATCCTCGTACAGAATACTCCTGGCATTTGGCTCTTTTTTGAGGACACCTGCTTCTCTAGAACTTGCACAGGGAGAGTGACAGTTCTTCCAAACCCATGTATGACGCATCTACAGAGGGCACCAGCCTTCTCCCAGGAACCCAGCTGTGCCAGTTCAAATGATCACTCTTGCACCCCCATATAAAACCTTCCCCCAAACCTCTTCCCTTCTTTGCCACTGCTAATCTGCTGGTCATTCCCCCATACCATGGTCTTGTTTTCCATCCCCTCTTTCTCAAACTTGGTGTCTTCAAAGTCCACTTTCACAAATCATTGAAACCTCTTGCTTCACAGATTCTTCATTTACTCAGCTCCAGATGTCTTTCCATTTTCTCCATTCACTCTCTCTTGGCCATGCCCTGGACACTGCCATCACCCATAGTTTCTCCGTTTTTAATGTCTAACTTTCTGGTCATTGCCTTCTGCCTGCTCACCCCTCTGTCTCTTTCCTCCGCCCCAAACTGCTATATGACATCATGTGTGTCACCCTCCTCCCGTCTCCACTTCCTTCCAGATAACCAGTGCATCAGCCTGTCTTCCTTTTTTTGCCTCTCCGCACTTTCTGCCCAGCAGAGCCCCTGCCTGCATTAATTAAGTTGTCTTGTTTTTCCTTTGCTGCACCCGGAGGTGCTGAGCACAGCCAGGAAAACAGCCCCTCTCTGAGTAGCAGGCGCCTCCACGGACTTCTCCTCCCCAGCCTCGGCTGACCTTGTGGTGCAGCCCAGATGTGCACGCGTTATGTGCCCCTCAGTGGCTCTCCCTTTGCCCCATAGTTATTTCAAGCTTTCACTCCTGTCCTGGAGTCCCCTGCTTTGAGCAGAGCTGCATCTCCTGCTTCATGGAGGAAACAGATACAGGAGATGGGATTCCCTCAATTTCCTCTTCCCACATTTACACACATCGCGTCTGTCTGTGCACGTCCTTCCTCCCCTCCTTCTCACACCAGTGGGACAGGAGCCCTTTCCTTCTCCAAAGCGAGACTCTCCACCTGGACTTCGGACTTCCTCGGTCTTCAGAGCTTCGTTGCACCGATATTTCTTCTCACCCTGGGTTCATCACACTTCTCTGTCCTCTGGCTTCTTCAGAGCAATTAATAGACATGCTGGGGACTCTGATCACAATCTTCACAGCTGAGTTTTTTTTTAAGGCTTTGTCTCTCATAGTTATCATCTGCCTTTCTTCGCTTTCCGTTTCTTCTTGGACCCCCTGCAGGCTGGCTTCCCTAATCCGCGAATGTGGCTCTTCCCAAGGTCAACTCCCATGCGTGCTTCTCAGCCCTCGTGTTATTTGGCTTCTCTGCCTCAGTCAGAACTGCAGCCTTTGATTCTGGGCACCACCTCTTAGCAATGGTCCTCTGATGACGCTTCTCTCCCTACCCCGATGGGCTGGCATTTCCTGGAGCTGATTTTGTTCATCCTGGTCACTCTCAATCCAACTTCATCTTATTCTGCACACCCTCCCCCATGAGCTCAACCAGACCCTTTGTTTAATCCCTACCTTGAGGCTGATGTCCTTAAAACTGTAGGAGCTCCAGCCCCATGCACCCTCTCAAGTGTTCTTCAGGCACATCGAGCTCAGCATGTCCAGCAGAAGCTCTTTCCCTTTCCTTTCTCTCCATCCCTACACTGCTCCTCCTCAGGACCCTTCTCCCCACCAAGGAGAACGCCTGACTTCTGCTCTGGTCACTTCCGGAGTGTCTCCTGCATCTTAGACTTTAGTCAGACCCACTCACTCACAGGTCCCTGAGTGACCCATGTTCCCCTGTGCGCTCCTTGAGGTCTGAAACATTCTGTCTAAAAACCTGACACCCGCCAACTCCTACTCATCCTTCAGCATCCACTTTGGAAATCACCCCTTCTGTGAAGCCTCCCTGCAAGCCTTGGATTCAGCTGGCTGCCTGTCTGAGTCTGTCATACTACCCGTGAGTCTCCCATCATAACACTCTCCTCACAGCATTATAATTGCCTTTTTACTTGTCTGCCTTGCCTATCAGATTGTGAGCCTCTGGAGGGCAGGAGTTTGACCTTTTATTTATCTTTCTATTCCCAGAACCTAGCACCTGGAACGTAGTAGTTGCTCAGTTTATGTGTATTGAATAAATGAATGAATAAGTGAATGAATTTGCTTAGATCAAAGCAGGCGAGACATGAAATTGTGTATCTTCGGGTTCTGATGTTACAGCAGTCCACAAAGGCCGTTAAATTTTCCGTGTTTCCAAGCCAGTATGTGTAGCTTCCTTCTTTCTTGTCTTTTTTTTGGGGGGGGGTTAATTAGACTTATTTATTTAATGGAGGTACTGAGGATTGAACCCAGGACCTCATGCATGCTCTACCACTGAGCTCTACCCTCCCCCATGACTTCTTTCTTCCTGACTATTTAGAGCAGTGCTGTCCAAAAGAACTCGCTATGTTGATGGAAATGTCTTCTATCTGTGTTGTCCAATACAGTAGCCACTAACAACATGTGACTATTAAACATTCGAAATGTGTCTTGTATGAGTGGGGAACTGAATTTTTAAATTGTATTTAATTTCAATTAATTTCAATTTAAATAGCCAATGTGGCTAGTGGCTACTGTATTCGACAGTGCAGTTGTAGAGAATACTTTGCTGTAGTTTTTTTTTTTAATTGAATTATACTCAGTTAACCATGTTGTGTTAATTTCTGGTGTGCAGCATAGTGATTCCGTTGTATATATATTCCTTTTCATGTTATTTTTCATACCATCAACAGCTGTTTATTCAGCTTATTTAAAGCAGGCTTAGGCCCAAAGTTCTCTGGGCATTTGTGCAAAATCCAAATTCAGCATCTGAAACTAATTCTTCTTTTCAGGCAAAAACATACAAACAGTCGCCTCCTAAACCAGAGCTGTCCCCAGTCAGGGGGAAACTTCGGGGATTTCGTCAGATTCCTAGCAGAGAAGACCTTGTTTCTACTACTTTTCTCCTCCTGTAGCTTGAGGGTCAAAGGACCTCGATTTCACCATTTATCAGCTGGGTGGTCCTAAGCAAACCTCTTTTCCTCTCTGTGCCTCTTCATCTGCTCAGAGAGGTTAATTTCCCTGGGCAGTAACAGAGCTTCTGCTAGTGGTCTGCATGTCAAAACCAAATGCAGTTCCCCAGGAATCCAGCTGGTAATGATGACATCTGTGTTTCATTGGGGTAACACTGGTATAGCTTCATGGGCTTCTTACAAAACCCACAAGAGAAGGTATTTCATTGCCCATTTTACAGATGAGAAAACTGAGGTCAAAATTATGGATTGGTTAATTAGAACCACGTCTTCAAGCCCACCATTGTTACTTGAAATCCTCTGCTTTTTAAAAACTCATTGCTCATTAGAAAAAAATGATTCCGCATAGTTACTTCCTCATAAGATTCAAATAATATAAATAATGCCAAAATCTCCCTTGACCTGTTTCCACCACAGAGGTAATGGCTGTTATCTGATGTTCCATCCATCCATGATCACAGACATATATGTATATCAATAAAAGTCGATCATTTCGTTTCACATTTTAACAAAACTTACATGAATGCCATTATACTGTTGATATTGTTCTGAAACTTCTTTTTTTTTTTTAAACATCTTGGTCTTAGAAATAGTCCCACGACAGTACATATAGATCCACCTTGTTTATTTCGTCTACTGCAGGTTATTTCAGGGTGTGGCCAGAGCCCCGTTTGCTTAATCTTTTTCTTTTTTTTTTTAACTGATGGACATTTGTTTCCAGTTTCGGGCGGTTGCATTCTCTATATACTTCTCTGTGCATGTGTTTAAACACGTCTCTAGGGAGATGTGCAACAGTGGCACGGCTAGGTGTGAGGGAATTGATGTTGCAAATGTTAATGGGTGCTGTTAATGGGCTGTACCAGTTTCCATCTCCACCAACTGGTAGGAGAGCCACCCATCACATCCTTGCAAACACTGTACGTGATCCATCTTTTTATTCTTTACTAGCTTGATTTGCAAAATGATGTCGCATCTTACCTCCTTCCTCCCTGATTGCTATGAGGCTAAGCATATTTCGTATTGTGAATTCCCTATAAATGTCCACAACTCACTTTCCCGTTGTCTTGTTGATCTTATTGATTTGAGGGGAGGTTTTTATATTCTATTAACCTCTGTTACATACCCCTTAAATCTTTTCTCCCACATTGTTGTTTTTTCTTTTTCCTTTTTTTTCTTTTTTGAGGCAGAGAATATGCTTATGGTGTCTTTTTTATATGAAATTTAAAATTTTTGAGTAGTAAAATGAAATCATCTTTTCCTTTATGGTCACTGAATCTTGTTTAAGAAGGTCTCCTGTAATTCAAGTTATTTAACCTATCGCCATGTGTGTTTCTAATATTTCACATTTATTCATTTAGCTCTTTAGTTATCTTGAATGTATGTTTCTGACTGGTCCACTGTAGTGTGCTGTGCTGTTGGTTTTCCCCCTGTGTCTTCCAACTCAGAGTCCTTACTGACGCTCTGAAGCCCTTAGGTCTGCCTTGGTCCCTGAAATAACGGTCTCACGTTTTCTCCAAGATCCTGCTCCACATGGAAGAAGGAGGGCTAACGAGGGGAAGGCCATAGTGCGAGGCGGGAAGACCTTCTTCTGCTAGGCTGCTGCAGACAGAATACCAGACAGCAGGAGGGAACACTTCCAGCTGTGCAATTCAGGAAGCTGTCTTGAAGGAGG